TCACACACACACACACACACACACACACACATGAACATCTACACACTCAGTAGACACACTCACACTCACTGCAGGTGAACTCATGTTTGGCTAACAGAAGGAGTGACTCTTAAGATCTTTTCACACTGAACGCGAATGTTCGGCACAATTAAGTTTTTGAATCGAAACAATAGATTCCTATGGGACGTTCACACCATGCGCCATCATTTGCGGCGCGAAAAGGCAAGGATTTTTTTTCGTCCTGTGTGTAATTTTTTTCCCTGTCGCTCCGCGATGAAACGGGCCGTCCAATCAGATTAGAGCTTAGATCACGTGACCGGTGCAGCTGCTGTTGTGGTGGCGCTGTTTCAAGAAACAGTGTAAACAAAGACAGAAGAAGAGAGTGCATGCTGAGTTTTTATCATTGGCATCTGAGGACAGATTTATTCTCTGTCTGTTTTCTTCCATGTGCGCGAGTGTTGAGTCAGAACGCATCCACTCTAGATCTGTCTCCTACCCTTCAGTGTGAAATCAATTGAGAGAAACGTTTTTCTACACATGAAATATGAAAGCAAACAGACATATGATTAGACATATTATATATTTTCTGTATGTTTTTTTTTTATGCAGCTCATGGTATTTTTATAACAATAAAGGATGTTTATCACAAATGATAAGCAGGTGTGGCGTTCAGTCTATTATAAAACATTCAAAGAGTGCATGTCTGCCTATTATAGAATCAAAATCAACTATAGATCATAATTGAGAGTTATTACAAGCACTCGATGATGGTTTAAAGTCAGACGATGTTAAATCCATACTCAATAGAGGTCGACCGATGTATCGGTTTAGTCGATTAATCGGCACCGATAGTTGTTTGCTGGAACTATCGTCAAAAATCCATGCCAAAAATAAAAGTTTGTTTAACAGTGGAAATTGAGTCTTACGTTATTTACATTTTATTCACACACAAAATATTAATGGTGAACATTGTTGACTTTATAAAATGATTCTCTCATTCTTGTCGATCGGCCCCTATTAAACAATAAAGAAAGTAAGACATCTTTTTCTTATACAGTTTAGTAGCCTACTATTCTTTTTGGCAGAATTTATCATTATAATAAGCTTAATTATTTCCTGGATTTTGTATCACCATAGTCCCTAAATGTATGTAAATGCAGGAAATGGGATTAAAATCGAAAACATTTCCCCCCATTTTGTGTCCCCCCCACTTCTCAAACCAAAGTTACACCCCTGGGTGTAATACCTGCAGTGCTTTTTGCCCAGTGTGCGACTACCATATTTTATTATTTTGATTATAATCATCATATATTCTAGAATAGAAACAATTCAAGTGTGAGAGTATACATACAATATCCATATGTATGTAATTTCAATGCTGTGGCCTTTGTGTAGAGATTTAAAGATGGTTATCTAGTTAGAGTGTGCTAATTTCAACATCTACTAATAAATTTTTACATTTTGAAGTTGCTTCTGTTAACATTAATGAACTATGATCAATATATCATTAATATTTAATATTAATATTTGTATTCATGTACAAAGTATTGTTCAGTTGCACTACTGTTTCACTATGGTTGCACTATTTTAGTTTTCATTCAGTATCAATTTTAAAAACTATCGGTTTATTAATACCAGACAGCGTGGTCCAACCTAGCTATCGGTATCAGTAAAATTGGTCGACCTCTAATATACGAGATACATATCTGAGGAAAAATGCATTGTTGGTCGGCACCACCTAGCATGCAAGTGTGAATTAGCTGAAGGTGATCAATTGTTTTCACGCTCAGTGTGAAACGGCCTTTACAGTGTTAACTCAAGTCCTCTTTAACAGAACCAAACTCACATGAACATTACACAAAACACTCAAGAGAACACTGCATGTCTTTTCACAGCCATGACCCATTACCTGGTGTTTCTCATAGACTACTGGGCCGCTGAAAGCTCCAATCAGACCTGCAGCACAAGAGATGAACCCATTACAACAAAGACTGAAGAAAGCATGAAAGTACAGTATAAAGTGAAACCAACTCAATGGCCTTACCGAGAATAAGCAGCGTGAGTCCGTTAAACCAGGCACCGACATACGTGAGGACCCACAGAAACACTGCGAACTAGAGAAGAAACAAAACATCGTCACTGTGAACAAGTGTGTCTGACAGACAATGACAGGAACAATCATCACTGATTGGCACACAGACCGGACTAGACTGCAAACTCACGAGGAAAGGGGAGGTACACACAGTCTATATTATAACAGTAACAGTAAAGAGTAAGAGTAAATCAATGTTTAGAATTATTATTAGGATTGTCTAATACAATACAATCTAATATATTTGCAATGAAACTCTTATTATCATTGTAGTTTTTATAAGTTATTATATAGTTATTATAATATAGTCACATGCATGTAGTCGTGTGACTATATTATAATAACTATATAATAACTTCCTTTATGTAACTGTTACAGGACATCTGGAAAATGGTTCTGATGATTTGATTGACATGGTGCCCAGTGTGGAATTTATTTCAGCTGCAATGGATTTGGTAGAGAACTAGAGCTGGTTGTCTTCAGCGTAGCAGTGGTGAATATGACAACGTGTGACGTTACCAAGGGGAAGCATGTGAAGGAAGAATAAAAGGGGGCCGAGCACCGAACCCTGGGGCACACCTTCAGACAGAGGGGCTGTGGAGGAAGTACAAATACAAACTGCTGTCTGTTTGTCAGATATGACCTTTGCCATGACGAGACAGTGTCAGTGATGGAGGAGGATTCAAGATGGGAGAGTAGAATGGTATGACTGAGAAGCTGCAGTGAGGTCAAGCAGCATGAGGATTCTGAGGAAACCAGAGTCTGAAGAGAGCAGGAGGTTGATGCTGAGAGTGGAAACCTGAATTTAAAAGGTTTGAACAACTCATTGGAGATCTGCCAAAAATAGATATATTTCTGGCATTTATTCTGAAAAGACAGTAGAAGCAGTGACATCATGACCAGGGATGCGCAATATTATCAGAACGTTATCGGAATCAGCAGATAAAGGCTTAAAATGTAAACATCAGCCGTTTTGGGGGGGGAAATGATGCCAATATGTATTGCTGATAAGACGAGTAGCTCACATGAGCTCAGGGTGTGCTAGTGATAAGATCATCAGTGTGGTCATTCTTGAAGCGAACTTTTGCCTGTATGGTGATTAGATTCAGTCTTTTGGATCGCCGCATTAAATTTGAGAATGCACATTCAAAACAACGATAGGGTCAACAGTCACTAGCGTGTGCAGCAGCAACGGCAGCAACAGCCTCCCCTGGGTCCTAACTCCCCTCTGGTAAGGCCTTTTATTTACTTACGGGGCGCTGTAGGCCTACTTGTAATAAAATGAAAGATCTGGGGACCTTGTGTGATTTTGAAATTACCCCCCCACATCTGAATTTCGTGTGGTGCATTCGCACGGGATAAGCGAAGCCATCAGCACTGGTTGATTTAAAAAAATATATATAAATATTATCTCAAAATAGCTCACGTGCTCAGGGAATGGTAGCGATAAGATCATGTCAGCAGTGTGGTCATTCTTGAAGTGAACTTTTGCCTTAATGGTGATTAGATTCACTGTTTTGGATCGCCGCATTTATTCTGAGAATGTACGTACAGAATGACACGTCCAGTGTGTGATAGCATAAACTGTCACTAGGGCATGCAGCAGGAGCAGCGACAGCCTCCCTTGGGTCCTAATGCCCGTCTGGTAAGGCCTTTTATTTTATCTAGGGGGCGCTGTAGGCCTACTTGTAATAAAATGAAAGTAAAATACACAAATAACATTAAGATATTTGAGTTTCTGAATAAATAAAGCAGTAACTGATGTCATAAAATCACGAGTATGGTTTGATTTAAAGGTCAGAAGCTAAGGCTTACATGAATAAAAATCACAAACATGACACTAGTAAATTAAATAATATATACAGATTTATTCATTAATATATAATATATTTTTTCAAATGGATTATAAAAACTTAAATACAAGGAGCTCTAAAAGATTTTTTGAATTTTTACAGCTCTTTTGCTTTAGACCATCTATTAATGTAAAATCCACAAAATGTTAAGGTTTCAACTGCATCTGTCTGAAAAAAACTGCAGATATTGATTTCATTATAGTTATTTTCAAAGCTTTCAATGTACTCACATTAAAAAAAAAAAACTTTAATAATGTTTATTATATCTAGCAAATAAGTTTTTGCTCAAAACTAACTAAAGCTTAAGATAATTTGTTTATAATTTCTGCAAGGAGAGACTTGGTGTTGGTTCAAAACAAAAGGAAATACATATCGGTATCGGCCAAAATGATTTGAAAAATATCGGCAAAAATCAATTATCGTGCAGCCCTAATCATGACCCATGATGTCATATTTTTTTGAAAGCTGATAGTTGAGGGATGACAACAGTCAGTGTTTGTGGGGCTGAACCAGAACTGAAGGAAGAGTTTATGATTTCAGTGATTACACGGGATGGGATCCAGAACTCAAGCAGAGTTTCTCTGTCCTGCCATTCAGTTGGACAGCTCTGTTGTGCACACACATGAAAACTGAGACAGGCTGAATAGTAAACAGAGGTGCAATATGTGTAGAAGTGGAGTGGGCAATGGATGTTGAGTTGAAGGAGTTATCACTAGGTTTGAGGAGGTTATTTATTGTTGAAAAGAAAGCCTCAAGGTCGATGAAGCCAGAGTCTACAGTCATGGCCAAAAGTTTTGGCAGTGACATAAATTTAGTGTTTTGCAAAGTTTGCAGCTTAAGCTGTTGTGGTGTTCATTCACATTGTTTCTAGATTATTGTGTAGAGTGATCAGATAAAAAAAATTAAATAATTTCACTGTTTTTTGATCCTGACACAAAATGACCATGCAGCTAACATTAATTGACTAATCATATCAGCAGCACATGTGAAAGTGTGAATGAGTACTAGTCAGGTTAATCACTATCATACTAATTAGATCGTAAGAGCAGACTGATTGCTATAAAAGGAGGGAAGAAGTGCTTCCAATCATTGTGTTCTTGTTAGCAATGGTTACCTCCAAAACACAACATTTATGTAATTGCCAAAACTTGTGGCCATGACTGTAGACTGTTGTCTGGATTGAGGAAGGGGAAGGAGATTGAACAGACAGACATGCTGTTTACTGTGATGGCGTAATGAGGAAGGGTGGTTAGGACGGCGTAACACAAGTTCTTACTCATTATTTAATTTCAGATTCTATGTACTAGACAGAAATCAAGCCAATGTCCAAATATATATAAAAGATTTACGCATATGCTGTACTCTCACTTTCGTAATCTCTACCTCATTACAATCTTTGGAAAACATTGGCATGTATTTAAGCTCTGTCCTTCAGTGTATTAATCTTAACACAGTGCTACTCCCGGCTCTCTCCAGGCTTGACTCAAGAAGACTTACTCTCCTCTGAGGCCTCTGACATGTGGTGGAACGAAACAAAGTACATTCACTGTACAAATCTGAGCTACTTATACTTTACTGGAGTATTTCCATTGAATGCATATATTCCACTACATCCCAAAGGCAAATCTTGCACATTTTGCTCCACTACAGTTGTCCAGCTTTAGTTTCTATTTATGAAATGTACTTTTGATACTTTAAGGCAGTGATCTGCAGCTCTGCTCCTGTCCTGCAGACTCTCATTATCAAGAAGAACGGAACACCTTGATCAGCTGCTTCAGGTGTGTTTGACTGCGGTTGGAGCAGAAAACTGCAGGAGCTGGGCGGGAGGTCCCTGCTTTAAGGGTTAGTTCACCGCATAACTCAGCAAATGCATTCATCATTCACTCACCTTCATGTTGTTCCAAACCTGTATGACTTTCTTTCTTCAGTGAAGCACAAAAGAAGATATTTTGAGAAATGTCTATGTTTTGTGTCCACACAATGAAAGTCAGTGGCGTCTAATGTTGTTCAGACTGCAACATTCTTCAAAATATCTTCTTTTCACTTCCAGAGAAGAAAAGAAAGTCAGAAATGTTTGAAATGACATGAGGGGGAGTAAATCATGACAGACTTATCCTTTTTCGGTGAACTGCGCCTTTAAGTATATCAGCTAATAACAGTATTTTTCCTCATGACCTACATTAACTTCTACTTGAGTCAGTATAAATGTTTAGGTTAGGGTTAGGTTACGTATTTCTCATTTACTACACAGAAAGACTCTTCAGACCTTCAGCGAGTCGATCAGGTCCTCCACCAGAAACAGCCGCCGCAGCTCCTTCAACACGCCGTCGATCCGACTCAGAACGGCATCACTGTGTCTCTGCACCACATCTTTAGACAAAGCTACATCCTTTTCCAGGTACTGTCTGTAAAAATGAGTTCAAAAAACATTTGTCATTCAAGAAGAGCAACTCCAGTATGTTTATTTAGTGATTTGAATCACAGAGACACTCATAATGTAAGGGTCGTGACGTGAGACCTGAACACACACTACACTACGAGCAGAGCAGCACACACACACACACTCACTCACTCACACACT